TTCTCTCTGATTTAGTTGAATGGGACTCAATACAAAGAATATTAGCTGGCTTCCTATGGTGTACTAAACTATCATTTCTGCTGGCCATTCTTTGTTGAATAAGTCACAAACTCATTAACAAAAATTGTCCAAAATCAATCTCTGTGCATTATCAAAAATCAGAAAAAGAAAGTGGTGGCAGAGTGGTTAGAATGCAGTATTGAAGGCTAATTCTGCTGGCTGTCAGGAGTTCGATCCTGACTGTCTCAAGGTTGATTCAGCCTTCCATCCTTCCCAGGTTGTAAAATGAAGACCCAGATTATTGGAGGAAATATGCTGATTCTGTAAACCACTTAGAGAGGGCTGTAAACCACTACAAAGTGGTATATTAGCTTAAGTGCTATTGCTATTGGAGAAATATCACTGTACTATGCACTTCAAAAGTGAAGATGAATGAAGGCAGAAGCAAGGATTGTGGGCATAATTTTGCTGCCCAGGGGGATATAAAATGTATCATATGCCAGATAGGTGGAGAACATCAGCTGTTCCTGAACTAACTTTCTAGAACCCGTCACTATTGGTCATGGCAACTGAGCTTCTGGGAATTACAGTTCATAACTCTAACTAACATATAGTTCAACATTTGGAGGACTTTTTATATACTGCCTTGATGTGAACCAAAAATGCACTACCGCCGAGTGAGTAGTCTTGGGCAGGGGTGTCAAACTCAAGGCCCGTGGAACAGATCTGACCTGCAGGTGCTTAGAGCTGGCCGGTGGGGCCGCCCTGGAAACAGTGAAGGACTAACCCACGGTGCCTCTACCAGCAAAAAAGAAGCTCTGGAGGGTGACCCTCCCGAGCTCTGTTTTCGGCTGTGATGGCTTCCTGCAAATGTTTGCCAGTGAAAACCGAGCTCGGGTGCCCCCCGACATGAATAACGCCGAGCTGGCCATGCCCACCCTGGCCACGCCCACCAGCAATCTGGTCAAACACAACCCTGATGAAATCGAGTTTGATGCCCCTGGTGTTTTGCATTGCTAATAGTGGCGCAACTTCAAAGACATACCCTATTTGACATCTGCCGGCAGACATCCTTTCCTGCTCAACGATGCCCTTTGCTCCAGCAGCAGCCATAGCCGCGGTCATTGTCGTCCTCTTCCCACCTCCCTCAGAGAATGAAGTTGACATGGAGGCTTCCTTCGTGCTCTGCTTGCTGACGGTGCTCTGATGCCAGCTTGAATGCCTGTGCTGGGTTCCAACTTGGGAATGCATAGAAGACCTGGCTTGGCCCATCGCAGCCCCGGAAGTGGGATAATTCTCCTTCTCGAAAATATTGCTCATACTCTGGCTATTCCTCACACGCTGATACAGAGGCACTCCTGGACTGAAAGGTATATAGTCCACCATCGTCTCATTGGTCGGCTCAATGTAGAACTGCCTGGGGCCTCTGCTGGAAGGGCTGCGGCTTGTGTAGCCAAGGATTTCAGAGCGAGCGTATCTTGGCGGCAAGGCGCAGGCTCTCTTGCTCTCATTCTGTCGAAATGTTAAAGCCTTGTTATATCGCATGTCAGCGTGGAAGAGAAACGGCTTCTCGGGAGTGCTCTCAGGTGAAACCTCCAATCTCTTCAATGGCTGCCTGTGGAATCTCTCTTCCATTGCCCTGTAGTTGTAAGGGAGGCTGCGAGGGCCCCAGCCATTTTCATAGCTGCTTTGGGACCCAATCTGTTAAAGCAAACAAAGTAAAACTAATGTCAGCTTTGGAATCTACCACATTTTTCGGCGTATAAGACGCACCTTTTTACCCCCTAAAAGAGGGTGAAAATTTAGGTGCTTCTTATACACCGAATGTAGCCCCACCTACCCATCGCCCTTTGGCCTCTGCCTCCCAGCGATTTACCTCCTTGCAGCAAATGGGGAAAATGGGGCTTGAGGGGGCAATAGGCTATGGCATTCCCTGTAGCATGAAACAGCTGATCGTC